GCTCATGCCGGGGGATGGTGCGCTGAAGCAGTCCGCCAGCAAGCTGCGGGTGCGCAAGTGGCTGCGGCAGTTGCTCAAGGCGAGAACCGGCAGTGCGGCTCCATCAAGGGGGGCCTTCTCCTGACCCTTCTTTGAGACTTCTCTAGGCGAACCTGCTGCGTGGCTCGATCGAGGGCGGCGTCTCGGTGCACGACCTCGTGCGCGGTTGCATGGTCAAGCGCGCCGACGCGGTGGGGGGCAGGCTGCGCGCGATGCAGCGGGCGGCGGTGCCGCTGCTGCTCGCCGCGTTCGATGAGAGCGGGCCCGCCGCTGGCTACGTGCTTTCCAACCTGCTCTGGCATGTCAGGCAGGCACAGCTGCAAGGGCTCGCCGTCCACCGCGACGCCATTTTGATGCCGGTGTTGCGGCACGAGAACGCAGACATCCACCAGCAAGGCGTCCTCGGCATCGGCGCGGATCAGGCGCGCCGTGCAGCCGAGGCGTGCGACGCAGAGGGCGAGCACCTCACGGCTGCTTTCTTGATGTACGCGGTTGGGAGCACGCGCGGCATCGCGGCAGGCGCGGAGCTGTCGCGCGCGTGGGCGTCGCTCCGCCGTCTGGAGGAGGTAGGAGGCGGCACGGCCTCCTCGAGGGCGCTGGAGCAGCGGGTGGCGAGCGTGCTCATCTACGCGACCGAGGGCGGGCTGGTGCGGGGAAGCGTGGAGCACTCGGCGGTGATGGAGCGCGCCAGACAGCTCGCGAGCAGCGTGAGCGGCGCGGGGCAGCTCGATGAGAGGAGCAAGGAGGTGATGGAGGCGGAGCTTGGCTTGTCCCTCGCCGTTGTGATGGGCGCGAACACAGTCGAGGGCTGGTTGGGCTACCCCGGGCCGCTGACGCACGAGACGCTGGCGCAGGCGAGCGCGTGTTGGCGTGAGGCGGCGGCGCACGCGACGAGGGCGGCGGCAGCCGCTCCCACGCCACCGATGGAGATTTGCATGCGAGTGTACCAGGTCCTCTTTCTGTTCTTTGCCTCGCGGCAGCACGCCATGCCCGACTTCCGTGCGGCAGATTTGCTCGGCCGTGCCGCCGCGTGGTCTGCTGAGACCATAGCATCGTACCGCTTCGACGAGGTGCATCCGGTTGCTATGCAGCTGGGCGCGCGGGTCGATTTGTTCCCGCACGGCATCGACCCTTGCCTGCTGCTACTGCGGCGCGGGGATCTGTCCGCTGCGCGTTCGGGCTTCTCCAAGGTGCTCGACGTGCACCGGCGGATACTCGACCGCGTCCGGCAAGGCGTGGCCACCGCCGAGGTGTACGCGCTCAATGCGATTGGTTGCACCGGCTACTTGCCCTATGCGCTGGTGTGCGCGGGCCAGCTAGACGAGCTGCGCGAGTTCCTGGCGCACAGCCTGACAGGAGCGCTTCCCTTTGACGAGTCGATCCGGGTCGGCGTGGCAACCTACTGGGGGGAGGCCGGGTCCGGTTGCGGTTGGGTGTCCGAGGACGGACACCGCAACAACACGCTCGACACTCTGCTGCTCGTTGTGCGCGGGCTCACTGCGCTGGTCGAGGAGGACGATGACGCTAGCCGCGCGGCGCTGGCGGAGTGGCTGCCGCCGGCCGCACGGCTGCTGCACATCGCCGAGTATGAGTGCGAGTGGCGGCTCGACGCCTCGGGCAGCTGCCACCCCGCGCTGCTGCTCGCACGGCTGCACGGAGAGCGGCTCAGTCACTGGGCGCTCGCGGCGGAGGTGGCGGAGGGCGTGCTGCGCATCGAAGAGTTCAACCCAATCCTCCGCACGGAGGCGTGCCATATCACACACACCACCGACACACCGTTCCGTGCACGCGCCAGTCTGATGTGGCGGGGTTAGAGCCCAACCTTCGCCCGCACACCCATCGTGGAGACATTCCATCATACCTACCTCCGTAGGCATTCCGCCTCTTGGGGCGCGCGCAGGCGGCGCTGGGCAGGGGCGCAGCCGCGTGCGAGGCGGCGGAGAGTGCCGCCGCTGAGGCGGCAGGGGCGCGGTACGAGTGGCTCGAGATGCTCTGCCTGCGCGATTTGCTGCGCTGGTCGGATGAGGCTAGCGCCGCGGGCGTCACGGCGCGGCTGCGTCGCGTGCTGCACCAGCTGTCGGCCTCGGAGGAGGAGCTGGTCGCAGCTTTGCATGAGAGTGTGATCAGCATGAGGGCGTAGGGAGAGCGCGATATAGGGGTCGCGCCGACGTATCTACAGCAGCCGAGTCGAGCAGCTATTCTACAGCAGCCGAGTCGAGCAGCTATACTGTGTACTGTAATCAGCATGAGGGCATAGGGTCGAGAGCGAGAGCGCAATATAGGGATCGCGCCTACGTATCTGCAGCAGCCGAGTCGAGAGAGCAGCTATACTGTGTACTGTAAAATGTATGGACCAGGTAAACGTTTTTCTCCCCCCCCACACGAGCGGTGGCGGGCTTGGGGCAAAAGCGGCGGCGCCCGTAGATAGTATCTTAAAGATAGCCGTAGGCGCGCTAGGCCACAGCGCGAGGAAGGGGGGGGGGGGGGGGGGGCAACGGGCAACCGATCTGGTGATCACGCTCACGGTGCCGCACGCGCGAGTACCGTCTCCCGTCGAGAACGATCTTTTCCTCCTTGGTTGGCGCAATGTCCGAAACCAGTTTACCCAGATCCTAGTCTCCCACAATTCATGTTTCAGCTTACCCGTCCGCTAACTTTTCTCATGTGTCAGATTACCCGGTCGACCAAATTTCTCGTCCAGTTTACCCGGCTGCCGTCGAGCGGGCACCTGCGGCCTGGTCGTAGGAGAGCTCCTACTCGGCACCCCGGTTGGGCTCAACGAGGTTTTCCGGAAAACAAAAAGGAAAACAGAGGGTCCCCAGCACTTTGCGTTTCCGGAAATTTCCAGGGAAAACAGAGGTGTTTGGTGCTCCATTCTGGAAACTCGCGAGTTTCCCTGAGTCTGAGAGCTGGTCTGGGGCAAAATCTGAGGCAAAATTGAGGAAATCGTCTGGCGAACGCCTGTATGCCATGCGCGCGGACCACGCTTGCGTGGATACGTGGCTGGCAGGCTGACCCGTGTGCGGGGTAACCCGCGCACGGGGAAGCTTCATGGGTTCGAGTCGTCAAACATTGAGCAGCGGAGGTGTGCCGAGGGGGACCGGGAGGCGGTAAGTCGTCGTTGCCCGGCGCTGCTTGCAGCGCCATGGCGATGGCGCTAAGAGGTTCCTCTTTTCCGCGCCCCCCCCGCAAGGCGCGCGATACACAAATCGACAAAATACCCAGGCGGCGCGGTCGCAAGGTAATTTCCAGGTATACACGGGTTCTCCGCGAAATTCCCGGCATTTTGCCGATTTGGCCTAAAATTTGGCTGATTTTGGGCCCAAACCAGCCTCAGACTCGGCTCAGAGCCAAAAATTTGACGATTTCCACGCAGATTTCCCGGGAAAATAGAGAGGAAAAGAGAGGGTGCTGTAGAGAAAAAAGGAAAGGAAAACAGATGGGGTGCGAGAGGCAAACCTCGTTGAGCCCAACACCCCGGCCCGGCCTCGTTTGCTTGAATGACACAGCCGTCGCACCCCACTGCCGGGTGATCTGGCAAACAAAAGAAATTTCGCCGCGGGCTCCGGGTTAACCTGGAAACGACCGATTTTCGCCGCACCGGGTGATCTGCGAGGCAAAAAATCGCTCAAGTGTCTATCTGAAGGAGTTACTTCCTGAAGTAACTACTTACTTCGAGAAGTAACTATCCCCGCCCCGCGCCTGCAATGGCCCCTAGCCCCCGCCCACAGCTCCCTAGACACAGGGCAGACCTGGACTGGAGCGGACCCGCTCCCTAATACTCCTCTGAGGAGTGGTGGTCACCGTCGGAGTCGGTGTAGGAGCTCCACCGCGCCCGCCGGGGCTTGTTCTTAGGACTTGTGTATGTACGCCGGGCGTATCGTGCACTTGGTCGCGGAGGCGAAGGGACCTCCTGCGCTCCCCAGGCGGCCTCACCGGAGCCTGCGGCATGCTTGGGCCTGGCAGGGGACGGTGGGGGGTGCGCTCAGTACAGTCGGGGGCGCCTGCACCGCGTGAAGGCGTGAAAAAAGAAACGGAGGAATGCCGGAGATAATCATGCTCAAACTGTTGTCGGCGGGGATGGCGCGATGGACTGAAACGGACGGCACGTCCCGGCTCGCGGCGCGCGGTGCATGATGTGAGCGCGTGCGGCAGAGGCGCGCCTTGAGGCGCGGCAGCGCCTTGCGGGGCTTCATGCTTCGCCTTCGATCGTGTCGTCACCATGTCGTTGACTCGCTGACCCGTGACAGCTTTGACTGCGACCGTGACCGGGTCGGGTCGAGCGTCAGATGCCCCCAAAGCGTGCAAAGGGAAAGAAGCCCGCTGCCGCCGCGGCGGCGCCGGGCCCAGCGGCGGCACTACTCGCAGCAGCAGCTTCCACAAGGCTGCAGTGGGCGCCGGCCCCAGGTGCAGCTGGCCCAAGCACGTTGCCGCCGCCGGTCGTGCAAGCGGAGTATGGAACCGCCGATGATGACCTCGTGCGGGTCGGCCCCCAGCTCGGTGTCGAGCTCCTCCCGCCGCATCGGCGCGGCGGCAGAGCCGCCCCAGCCGCTGCGCCTTCGCCTGCGGAGGCTCCTGCGGCGGCTGCACCTGCTGCTGCGGGTGAGCCCGACGACGACGAGCAGCCTGACGGCGCGCGCATTCCAGACCTCGATGATGTCTTGGGCTGGGGGGGTGGCAAGGGTGGAGGAGGGCTCTCAGGAGACCGTTTGCCGGCAGCAGGGGGCGCGCGCTCGGCCGACATGTGCGCCAGAATGCCGCAGAAGTAACTATGAAGAACTGTGTTTGGGCTGTCTCCCGGGCGTGTTTGAACCCTAATTGTCGGCCCCAGTGACCCGGTCTAGAGGTCTGTGTGTGGCCTGGGGGGGCCAAACAATAAGGCGAGGGGTTCCTAGTAAGCGGTTGGGGGGTGCGAGCCCGTGCTATAGTGCAGTGAATACTTACTTCCTGAAGTAACTTCATCCTTCAGATAGACACAAGTCGGGTTTTGACGCCGTCAAGATAGTGCCCAAGACATGCAGACGGCAGAAAGCATCCGCCACAAGCGACCCCTTTACGATCAAGCACTGTGCCTGTTGTTCCGCTTGATGCCCGCCTCTGTGGCCGAGGAGCACGTCGAGGACATCGGCGCGGTTCTTGCGCGGCTCGCTGGGAGCTCCTGTTCGCCGTTCCAGATCGAAATGCTGCTCGATGTCCTCGAAACGCTACCCGCGCGAGCCCTCGTGCGCATCCGCGCCAAGATCGACGAGTGCCGGAGCCCCGGAGCGCATGTCTGGCAAACCACGCGTTCAACGTCCTCGCGCCCAAGGTGCGAGCGCTCCTCGCCCAGGCCGACGGCGCGTCCATCTGAGCTACTTTCTCCTTTGCGCACTTTCCTTTTTCCTTCATTCTCTTTTCAATGCCGTGCGAGGCGTGACGACGATGGTCGATGCGTGAGAATTGTGAAAACGTTCACGTTGGCTTTGTCTTGTTTTGTCCGGATTTTTATTTTGTGGCGCGCGCGTTGCCTTCTCAACTTTCATGTCCCGCGAAACCCTGTGAATTCGAGTCCCTACCCCCGGCTCGATCTCAAAAAGCGCGCAGTCCACGCCCTCTCCCGCCCGACCGCGGGCGGCGACAGGCGCGCACGGACACGGCCCCCCTCTGCGGCTGTGATCGCTAGCGGAGGGGCAACGCCGGATCGAAGCGCGCGCAAACCGCAACAAATGCCGAAGCGCGTTGGGGTGCGATGTAACAAATGCCCCGGCGCGTCCGCGGCGCCGCCGGCCCAGCTCAGTGCGGCGAGAGCTCATCCGTGGTGCGGCGGCGAGCTAGGCAGCAGCGCGGCGAGGACTGCCGAAGCGGTGACCACTGCGCAGACGGCGCCCGCGTCGTTGAGGCAGACGAGCTGCGCCGCCTGAAAAGGAAGGGGGGGAGGGGGGGGAGTGGGCGGGGGAGGGGGGAGGTGAGTGCGTGTGGGCGAGAGGGGTGCTCGTGTCTCGGTTGATCTCGGGTGGGGTCGCTGCCTCCGGGTCGGCGAGGCGCGTGATCGCGGTGGCGACGGTGTCGCTGACGGCGCACGTCTGTACCCGGCTGTCCTTGGGCGGCAGCGAGCGGAGCGCCTGCGGGTTGCATGGTCGACGCATGTCCTCTTCCGCACGGCGGCTGCTGTGCCGTCCTCCGGGTGGCGGCGGAGAGACGCGCCTCCTCGAGAGGGATGGCGAGGTCGGTCGCCAGAAGTGTCTAGGAAGTGTCTAGGAAGAGTCTAGGAAGTGTCTCGGCGCCTCCTCGAGAGGGATGGCGAGGTCGGTCGCCGGGTTGGACGCGAGCTGCCTGAGAGAAGGGAGGAGGCGGCGCCCTCACCGGGGCGGCGAGCGCCGGTCGCCTCGGCTGCGACGCGAGGCTGCCTGACGTCGCGGCTCGAGAGGACGTCGAAGAGGGCTCCGCTTGCGTCGAGCACCGGCAGCGCGTGCAGCCGCTCGGCCGAGAGCAGGCCGAGCGCCTAGAGGCCGCGAGAGCTCGAGGACTGACCACAGCCGAGGCGTCGCCGCCAGAGCGCCTCGAGGAGCGAAGCTCGCCCGGAGGTGTCTAGGAGGTGTCGAGGAGGTGTCTAGGAGGTGTCTAGGAAGCGCCTAGGAGGTGTCTAGGAGGTGTCCAGGAGGAGTCTAGGGAGGTGTCAAGGAGCTGTCTGGGAGGTGTCCGGGAGGAGTCTAGGGAGGTGTCCAAGGAGGTGTCCAGGGTGTCTAGGGAGCTTGTCTGCTGTCTGGCATCACGAGTCCAGTCGCCTCGAGGAGCGACGCGTCGCGGCGGACAGTCTGCGGCTGGCGGCAGAGCGGCAGCAGCGCCTTGCCGACCGGCTCCTCAAGCAGCGGGCCTGAGTCGTCAAACTGGAGTCGTCAAACTGGCGTGCTGAGTGCGCGAGCAGCAGCGAGGCCGTGGCTCGTCCGCAGCTCGGGCAATCTCGAGGGTACTCGGGGGCACTCTCGGGCCATCTCTGCAACTCCAAGACCGTGGCTCGTCCGCAGCTCGGGCTACTTTTAGCTTACTGGGAGAAATGATACTCTCTCTAAATGTAAAGCGCCATAAAAACGGTCTATGCACGCGCTCCGCCCTCGGCCGCTGCCGCCACCGGGAGCGGCGACGGCGAGCGGAGCACGGACGATCGGGTAGCGAGGCCCGGCGTCGAGGCGCAAAAGGCAGTGTGCGCGCGCGGCGCGGCTGGCGGCTGGCGGCTGGCGGCTGTCGCTGTCGCTGTCGCTGTCGCTGTCGCTGTCGCTGTCGCTGTCGCTGTTGCTCACACGATCATTTTCACACAAGCACTCTTTCCTCTTTATCCACATCTCTGTCGGTCTCGGGCGCCCCACATCACAGCCACAATGCATAAATCTCATCTTCCGTCCTGGATTCGCCTCTCGCCACTCTCGGATACGTTCGCAGGTGGCGAAGAGGCACGTGTGCGACGTGGCAACACAGAGCCTTGCACCCTTTCGCCCGTCTCATCACTGCCCCGGCGCCCACGCCTCGACCTTCTTGGGCAGCAGCTGGTTCGACAGGTCCTCTCCGTGGCCTAGGCCGCCGTATTCACCCTGGCCCCAGGTGAAGACAGCGGCATCGGCGGTGATGGCGAGGCTGTGGCTGCCTCCAGCCGACACAGCGACGACGCGCTGGTCAGCAAAAGCCTCGACCTTCTTGGGCAGCAGCTGGTTCTGCGTGTCGCCGTGGCCCAGCCGGCCTCGCCCTCCAAGGCCCCAGCTCCAGACAGCTCCGTCGGCGGTGATGGCGATGCTGTGGCTGCTTCCCGCCGACACAGCGACGATGCGCTGCTCAGCAAAGGCCTCGACCTTCTTCGGCAGCAGCTGGCGCTGCAGGTCGCCGTGGCCTAACCGGCCAGAGCCTCCCTGGCCCCAGCTCCAGACGCTGCCGTCGGCGGTGAGGGCGAGGCTGTGCTGGTCTCCAGCCGAGACTGCGATGACGCGCTGCTCAGCAAAGCCCTCGACCTTCTTGGGAAGCAGCTGGTCCTGCCTGTCGCCGTGGCCCAGCTGGCCCCAGCCTCCCTGGCCCCAGCTCCAGAGAGCGCCATTGGCGGTGAGTGCAAGGCTGTGGTGGCCTCCAGCCGACACAGCGACGACGCGCTGCCCAGCCAAGGCCTCGATCTTCTTGGGCAGCAGCTGGTGCTGCGTGTCGCCGTGGCCCAGCCGACCTTCGCCTCCATAGCCCCAGCTCCAGATAGCGCTGTCGGCGGTGAGGGCGATGCTGTGTTCGCCTCCTGCCGATACGACGAGGACGCGCTGCTCAGCTAAGGCCTCGACCTCCTTCGGCTGCCACTGGTCCTGCCGGTCGCCGTGGCCCAGCGCGCACACGCCTCCCTGGCCCCAGCTCCAGACACTGCCGCCGGCGGTGAAGGCAAGGCTATGGAATCCTCCAGCCAACACGCTCACGGCGCGCTCGCCACCCAGCGTGGAAGGGAGGCGGGTCGGCGTGTTGAGCCGCGGCACGCCCTCGCCGTGACCGATCAGTCCCGGCGTCCAGTTCTCAGCCGTTCCGCACGACGAGAGCCGCCCCTCGCCGTCGATGAAGACGCTGTGCCAATATCCTGCGGCAGCCCTCGCCGGCGGGTTGGACTCGCACAGCAGCGCCGAATAGCACAGCCACCGCACGGCGCAGCCCTCGCCCTCCGGCAGCGCCGGCAGCTCGAAGCCGCGCTCTTGCGCCCACAAGCGGATGGCCTCAGCCGCGAGCGATGCGTGGAAGAGCAGCGAGACGGCCGCGACGCGAGCGATGTCGGCGGGGTCGCAGCGAGAGATGGCGCGCAGGAGGAGCTCCGTGGGGAGGTCGAGGAGGCGGGTGGGCGGCGATTCTGGCGAGGGGGCGGCGGAGGAGGCGGGGGCGAGGCGGCGCGAGCGGCGGCGCGGCGGGGTGGACATCGCGAGGAAAAGAAAACGCGCACTGGTAGGGGTAAAAAGAAAGCCTGGCGCGTCCTCCGGCGCGATCAACGGCGCAGCCCACCCTGTTACGCATTTCGCTGCTCATCGCGACCGCCACCAAGATGCGGTACGGCTCCCTCGCCTGGACTTCTCCGCCTGCCGCGCGACGGCTCGTCGCCTGGCTGGCCATGACGACACCGCCGACGCCGCTCGACCTCAGTGGCGACGGCGGCTGCCTGATGACGACGCTGCGAGAGCCGCTCCCGACCGCGGCGCGCGCCTGCGGGCGTGTACGCGACGGTGCGCTTCCGCGCCTCGCTCGCCGACGGCACCGTGCTGCACGACTCGTGGGAGGGCGAGGCGCCGCCTCTGCAGGTGCGGGTCGGCGCGGAGCCGTCGGACGCTGCGCTCGGGTGGGACCTTGCGCTGCCTCGGATGCGGGTGGGTCAGCAGGTGCGCCTCGAGTGTGGGCCGTCGTACGCGTACGGCGATGCGGGCGCCCCTCCGCTCATCCCTCCCAGCTCGCCCGTCACGTTCGAGCTCGAGCTGCTCAGCGTGCGGGAGCCCTAGAAGCGGAATACGTCTTCATGTATCCCAACCAGCACTCGAGAGACACGTATCCCTGGGTATCCCGCTGCATTCCGCTGATTCACTGTATTCCTATCCGTTGTATTCACGCGGTGCTCTGAAGACGCTGCACAATACCTTCTCCCCCCCTCATGTTGGCGTATTCAGCACTGCAGGTGCGCGACCTGATGAGCAGCCACAACCCGGACGAGGCGCGGGAGATATGGGGAGATATGGGGAGATATGGGGAGATATGGGGCGGTGCGGGAGAGATCGACTCTGCTCTTGACCGCTCTTGACGACGGCAACCTCAGCTCGGTCGAGCGGTACGACCCGGCAGTAGGCGCGTGGGAGGCGGTGGCTCCGATGGCGGCGGCGCGGTCTGCTCCCGCCGTGGCGGCGCTCGAGGGCAAGCTGTACGCGGCGGGCGGCAGCGACAACAACGGCGTCCGCCTCAGCTCGGTCGAGCGGTACGACCCGGCGACGAACGCGTGGGAGGCGGTGACGCCGATGGCGGCGGCGCGAGCTGCTTCTCACGGCGGTGCTCGAAGGCAAGCTGTACGCTGTTGGCGGGTGCGATGACGGCTACAACGCCCTCAGCTCGGTGGAGCGGTACGATCCGGCGCTGGATGCGTGGGAAGCGGTGGCGCCGATGGCAGAGGTGCGGCGGGCTCATGGCGTGGCGGCGCTCGACGGCAAGCTGTACGCGGTGGGAGGCTACAACGGTAACGACAACGACGACGTCCTCAGCTCGGTCGAGCGGTACGACTTGGGTACGAATGCGTGGGAGGCGGTGGCGCCGATGGCGACGGCGCGACGCGCTTCTATCGCTTCTCACAGCGCGAGGACGGGTCTCTGTCACGTGCACGTGTCAGATCTCTCTTTACACTTTCTCGTTGAATACGGTATACGCACAGAGCACTCGGCTCTGAGGGCGGGGGCGCAGGTAGAGGTAGGGCTGGCGTGGGGGGCCTCAGGTAAAGGTAAACCTGTCTCAGACCGCCGGATGTAGAGGTAAACGGAAACCACGTGAGGCCAGGTAAACGTACGCCCGTGAACGTAACCCGCCGAGGGCTCTGTCCTCTGAGGCGGGACGACCAAGGCCCCCGCGAGAGCGCTTCGCCTTGCGGCGCGCCTGCCCGGCCATGGACCAGGCTTCACCGCCGCTTGCCGACGGCTGATCGCATCACCTACCGCATCGCGAATGGCCAGTGCCGCGACCACTTGACCTTGCTGCCTGCCTGCTAACCCGCGCGGTGCAAAGAATCTGCGTCTCTCGGCGCATTTTGATTGTGCATGATTGCTCGAGTGGCTCGAATTGGCAATCCACCGCAATACGAACATGACTGGAGAACATATGCAACACGGACGCAGGCTTGCCGTTGGCGACGTCGGTTATCAGAGGGGTCAGGTCATAGTGACGCGCTCGATGGGATGCTGCATTGACGCAGACAGCAAAAGTATCGCAGCGGAGACCTTCTCATGAGTGGCGGCTCGCACCATGCGGCAGTGCGGACACCAGGTGCGCGAATTTAAGAGCCATTTTCGATTCCGTGGTTTTGGCACTGTCTACCAACTTTATGGTACAAATCGACTTGGTCTGGGCACAGCTGAGCCCTGCGGCTGCGCTGAGGTTTGCCTCCATTCTGAAAGTGTACGTAGAAGGGAAGGCAGCATGCCAGGTTTGCGAACTCCGCTGTGCGCCGAAAAGCGGTATGGCGCCGAGGAGAAGCCATTTTCTTATTAGAAAAGGCTCTCGACTACCAAAATTTTCTTCGTCCTGCGCGCCCAACCATGGTGCATGGATGGCGGGCACATCTCAGAAACACTCGTGCGGCTGCGCATTGTTTGTATTTTCTCTTCTCTACGAGCCGGCGAGTGGAAATCGCAGATAGCTGCATCGAGATCACATATTATCGAGATCACTCGAGAGATGGATCAGTTATCACTCTCGAGACACGAGAGATCACGCAAAAGGTAAATCATGGTCCTACGTCGCTCAGAGGTAGAGGTAAAGGGCCCACGGCTGCCCAGAGGTAAAGGTAAGAGGGCCGCAGGCCCTCAGAGGTAGAGGTAACCTAGACCCCTCCTACCCGGCCCTCAGGGCCGAGAGCACACAAGCTCGCGCGAGCCATGCGGACCCCAAGGCCCATGCGTGCACGTGTGTTTCAACATGCGCCCACAGATGGAGGCTAGGTTAGGTTAGGTTAGGTAGGAAGGTGAAGAACAGCCAGGCTCGTACTGGAACAGCGCGGTATGGGTTGATTGGGATCAGTACCGCACACCCTTGCAAGCGAAATCCAAGCCTTCGGGCATCCAGATCGACGGCATCCCGATCGACGGTCTCCTCTGCGCCGATGGCCTCCCACCGCATCGGCGCGCGCGTCGCGGGCCTCTCGCCAGCGCAGCTGTGCGCGATCATCGAGGCGCAGGCGGGCGCGAGCGACGCCGCGCTGCGCGTGGCGGAGGAGCACGCCGCTCGGCTCGTGGAGCAGCCCGAGTGGGTGCTCTCCGAGGTCCTCCTCTCGCCGGACCTCGCCCCGCACATCCTCGCCCAGCTGCCGACCACGGAGCACGCCGTCAAGGGGACGTGCCGCGCGTGGCGCCGCGGCTGGAAGGAGACGCTGAAGAAGCGCAAGAGGCCGCGCCTGGTCGTGTTTGGCGGCCAAGACGGAGAGGGCGAGTTGCTCAACTCGCTGGAGCGGTACGACCCTTCAACAAACGAGTGGGAGGAGGAGGCTGTGGCGCCGATGCCGACGGCACGAAGGTATGCTGGCACGGCGGTGTTTGATGGCAAGCTCTACGCGGCGGGCGGCGAGACTGTGGCTGACGGCGCAACTTCCAACCTGGTGGAGCGGTACGACTTTGCTACGAATGTGTGGGAGGCGGTGGCGCCGCTGGCAGAGGCGCGGCAGAATCACGGCGTGGCGGTGCTCGACGGCAAGCTGTACGCTGTTGGAGGCTTCAACGACGACGATGGCTTCCTCAGCTCAGTCGAGCGGTACGACCCGGCGACGAACGCGTGGGAGGCGGTGGCACCGATGGCGACGGGGCGGTGGGGTCTCGGCGTGGCGGTGCTCGACGGCAGGCTGTACACTGTGGGAGGCTTCAACAACGACGGCGGCCACATCCGTGGCCTCAACTCGGTCGAGCGATATGACCCGGCGCTGGATGCGTGGGAGGCGTTGGCGCCGATGGCGGTGCGGCGGGTAGCTTTCAGCGTGGCGGTGCTCGACGGCAAGCTGTACGCTGTTGGAGGCTACCGCGCCGGCGCCCTCAGTTCGGTGGAGCGGTACGACCCGGCTGCGAACGCATGGGAGGCGGTGGCGCAGATGGCGACGGCTCGGAGCCATCTCGCTGTGGTGGTGCTGGACGGCAAGCTGTATGCGGTGGGCGGACAGGATGTTGGCTTCAACGCCCTCAGCTCGGTCGAGCGGTACGACCCTGGTACGAATGCGTGGGAGGCGGTGGCGCCGATTGCGACGGCGCGAAGCGCTTCTATCGCAGTCTTGATGTAGTGGGCTTAGGCGCGGGTGCGGCGGCGGGCGGGTATCGCTTCTCACAGCGCGAGGACGCCTGGGACGGCGGGGTCTCTGTCAGATCTTTTTACTTTTCTCATTGGATACGCACAGAGCACAAGCTCGCGCGAGCCATGCACGTGTTTATTATCGTGATCAACTAATCCTGTTGA